AGTTTGGGAAGGATGGGACATACGGTTCGGAAACTGTTGACGATGAGACGGTTTTTCAAATGAATGGGAGTCAATGGCAGCTATGTCAAGGGAATAAGCCACACCCACCAAACTCTAATAGAATGTGGGGACCCTCCATGCCTCTCTCTGTGCCAAGTTTCAGCCCTGTAACTCTTATACTTTTTGAACTATATACGATGAGACGGGCGATTTTCTGGTTTTCATCCATTATCCCTAACCCTACACCTAACCCTAAGTCCCTGTTTCAAGCTGGTGACTGATCTATCTTCTATTATAATCCCTTTCCCATCCACTAACCCTAACCCTAAGGATTCTAGTATTCCTTGCCTCATCCTAATGAGTTCATCTTCTTTATAGCTCACCCCAATTTAAGCTGGTGAGCCTCGCCTAACCCTAAGTCCTTGTCCACAGCTGGTGACTATTATAACCCTAATTGCTTCTTATCTAACCCTAGATCCACTGGGTTCATATTTCTGGGTGACGTCCAGGGCACTGTGCATCACTGAAAGATCTGAGTGAAATAGAAGGGTAATTACCACCAGAAACACAGGCTGCACAAGAATAAAGGCAACTCAATGCCCTTCTGCCTGTAAAAGATTTTTAATGGTTGACTTTATATACAAAAAATAAAAAATATATTGTGTATGAAAAAAATAAAAAATAAAAAAATTTATGATATAATGTATACTTACCTTGTATATCCTGTAAATAATGTAAAAACTGTAAAAATGATATAATGTTTTCACTTTATTTTTTGCACATGTTCAAAGTGTTATATTTAAAACCGACACAAGAGGGCAGTGTGTTCCTTTTTTCAGCACCCCTCTAGCTGGCGTGTGACGTTCTAATGCCTGGCCAATCACGGCCGCTTGTTTTAAGTTTCAACTTGTGGAGTGCATTGTAACCGACGCTTACCAGTTGAGACAGCAAGTAGCCTGATGAAGGTTGATTCTGACCGAAACGTCGCTTTTACTTGCTGTTACTGTCTCTACTCAGTTTATTAAAGTGCCAGACGGCATAAAAAGAAGTCCAGTTTCCTGCACTCCTTATTTTACTTTTTTTATTTCGTTAGAAATCAGTTTTTCCAGTCAGCTTTTCTGGGTTTTTTCCACTTTTTATTTTAAAATCTCCGGAGCAATACCACCGCCCGCCACCAGATGGAGTGGTTCTCTGAACCAGAGGACGGATGGACGACGGTGAGTTACCACCGGGGAAGAAGGCGGGACCGGAACCCATTGGACCGGAACCACGGTGGGTTCAGGGCCTACCAACAGGACCGAGATCCGCCGCCCCAGCACTGGAGGCCCAGCTACGCCTCCGTCACCCGTGGGTATCCCCGCAGCCATAGCCGGGGCTCCGGCTACCGTAGAGGCCCACGCAGCCGCAGTGGGGGCTCTGGTTACCATGGTTACCGCCGAAGCCAGTCCAGGTATCCACAACGTCACTTCCAGCGGGACTCTGGTTACCATGGCTACCGCCGAAGCTCTTCCGGATATCCACAACGTCACTTCCATCAACAACAACGGCCCCGTAGCCGAGAATGGAACGGATCTGCACAGAATCAGCACAATCAGAGGTATGGATCAAGCTATCAGAACTTTAATAGAAACCAGCAGAATCAGAACAATAACTATCAGCAGTCTGACGATCCACGGTTTAAGGACAAAGTCAGAGCTCTGCATAAAGCGACACACCACCTTAATAACGTGTCGCAAGATGAACGTAAGCCACCGGCTATTGTACGTACAACTGATAGCTTAGCATCCACCATTAAGCCGGCCTTTCCTAGCAGAAGAACTATGGACCTGATAGAAGGCAATGCTATGAACTGGGCTCTTAATACCATGCTGATTTTAAGGCAGCATTATGAAGAGGTGCGCATTTCTGAGAGAAACAGACTTCTGCTCCAGCTCCAGCAGCTACAGCCAGGGGCCCCTCTTCTCCATCTTCTGGCCCTGTCATGACCACAGCAGCCACCATGACAGATCCTCCTCGAACCGGCTGGACACCACCAGCTTCTGATGATGGGGACGACGCAGCGGACATCACACCACCTCCACCACCGACTGATGACATCACCACATCTCTTCCTCCAAGACAGCAGAGGACCTCCAGAGCTTCCGGGATCATCACCTCTGCTGCAACTGGAACATCGCAGACGACTTCTCCTCACTCTTCTCAGCAGCCTCTCCAACCTGAGAGGGCAGCAGCTCCTGCCATGGGGGACGACTTCAGCCTAGAGGACCTCATCGAAGCAGAGATCAACAGTCAGCGGGAAGCAGCAGCAGCAGCCTCCCCTCTGTCACAGGCCTCCAACTCATCCCAGGTCAGCCGGCGGGCCCCACTGAGGCCCAGACTGATGCCCCTGCACAGAAGGATGCAGGCCAGCACACAGCGACGACTCACCTTCACCACCAGGGGGAGGCCTCCTGGTCCAGCTGCAGCATCCGCCATCAGTGGAAGCAGAGAACCCACACCTGCTCAGGTAACTGTGGCAGCCAGACAGATGGGATCACAGAGA